TCAGCAGGATCACACAAGTATCACTGAAATTATTTCAATGGCATTTTTTTTCTTTTATTGAAGGACATATTTAAAACACGACACTTGATATGTTTTCTCTGTATCAGTGATATAATTATGATCAGTGCCTGCTAGATAATAATGTGTCATTTTACAATCCTTGCAGTCATTCTCTGAGTCATTAATAGTACCAATGCTGCTTATAGCTTTGTCTGCTGCACCTGACAGGATTTCGTTTCCTGAAGAACTCACTCGATGAATCAGACAGTATTGAATAGGTTACTCAGTGCCTAATTACAACAAATATAAAGCTAAGTCATTTGAAGCTTTTTCTGACAAGGTGCAGGTTTTCAAAAGGAAACAACTCCTCTGTTTTCTCCCTGTACAATAAATACAACACAACTTATTAGAAATAATTAATTTATCTGATCCATCTGGCATTTGGTCTCATTTACAAGTAAGTTAGAGCCATGTGACAATCACACAATAACACAAGGTTACCCAAACCGCGTCCTCTCCAGCTGCCACCAGGGCAGAGCACCCTCGGCATCGGCGAGGGCAACACATTCCCTGTGTGACCACAGGCACACTCCCCAAAAAGTGAACTGCTGAAGGAGAAACGTGCCCAGCTGAGGTACCTCCATGCACAGAGCTCCACTGGTTCCACACCAAGCCCTTGCTCAAAGGTGTTTAAGCTGAAGGAAAACTACGGATGCCAACAGGCTGCAAAGAGCAGTAATACCACCATACTTTCCTTCAATGGCCACAAAATAGCCAGCTTTTACTGTCAGTTACCACACAAAGACAGCATGTCCTGATCCAAATACCACCTAATGAAATAAGATGATAACTCGGCTATCCAATGAGCTATTCTCTCAGCAAAATATGTCAGTATGTTAAAAAAAAAAAAAACAGTCAGGTCCAGGTAACTGCTGGAATATTTTTTTTTAAGAAGATGACTGTACTCTGAGAGACTATCTGGAAACACTTACAAAGGGCTTACTTACTTTAGTTTAGTACTCTACTACTACTTCTTCACCCTTCTTCATCTTATGGAAAATAGTACTATTCACATCCAGTAGATTATTTAAACAACATAAAGCTATGTGCATGCATAATTCTTTGCAGGATCAGGATGACTCCTAAAAGTTGGAGTCCACACGCTCACATAGTGGCTACTATCATGATCAGCTATGATGCAATATAAAATATCTTAATAGTGTAAAGCAACAGAACAATGATGAGTATGAGTATTCGTATTTTATGCAATTTATTCTGGATGACAGAGAGAAACCAAAAGTTTTTAAGGTACTGCTGTGCTTTACTTAAAAATCTAGTGACACAGATAAACCATTACTTCATGCAATGGTTCACTGGACATTATGTTGCTGTGTTCAACAGCTCTCCAGCACAAACAAGTATAAATGTCAATGTCAATGACTCCCAAATCTTAATGACAACAGCTCAAAACTAAAATGCTTTAAAAAAATTGTCTGTGGGTGGAATTTGTCTGATTATGTTCTTATGAGCAGGGCTCTCTGCAGTCTCCGAGATTGGTCTGTATGGATCTTCCTACAGCATCAGAAATACCATGTGCCTTTGCTGATTCGATGGGAAGGTTCTCCCAGGATATGCAGGATTTATGAAGATTTTTATTATTTCATGATATGTCAATTAAGTTCCCCACCAGAGGGGATCTATTCAAAATAATATCAAATACATTAAATAAAGGCTATGTACAAGTTGACAGACAGTTGTTGGTTTTATTCATGCAGCCCTAGCAGGCCTTTACCAAAACATTTTATATAGCAAATTGTTTCCTATTCTTCCATAGAAAGAAAATATCGAGCAGGCTCAGACAATAATAAATGTGCTTACATGGCCACACTGTGACCAGTCTATAAGCACAGTGACATTGTCACCAGCCATTAAGGTCAGCTTGTGTAGCTTTTCACAAGATTTAATTTGGTTTTCATCCTGTCCACCACATCCAGCATGCTGAGTAGAAGGTTCTACGCAAAATTCCCATCTACTTTCTATCATCACCTGTTGCTAAAAGCGATTATCTAAACACATAAGGAAAAAAATACTATAATATATTAAGCAATTAGTGTATAATAATTTAATTTAAAGGAAAACAACTTTTCCAGTGCAACAGGGAGCAGAGTTGCATATGTATGATTAATTAATTGTCTTATCCCATGTTCTGAGTGCCTAATTAACGCTGAAAGGGTTAATGTTCCCTTACTTGAGGATCTCTTCATTTTTTTGTCATGTTTTCTGTTTTAATGAAAGTAAAAAGGAAACCCTACACCAGGAGTCCCCTGGCCTTCTGGCTGGGTGGATGACCTACCTGTTTTGAGAGGCTGGAAGAAAAGCATATGATGTGATTCCACCTCTAGATCATGCCCATACCTACCGTGAAAGCACTGTACATCCACCTGCCCACACACAGTCAAGGCTCTTTCCCAAAGCGTTGGATCTACTACACACCCATAGATCAACTGCAACACACACAGACACATGCACACACGTCCTGTCTGTGTACCAGCACCTGAGGAGCTCTTGGGAAGGAAGAAGCTGGCAGCAGGTTGCAACCCCTGGAGCAGTTCATGAGTATCTGGACAGGAAGCAGGATTAACTGTTCCAGCAGTGGCAGCCCCACTCCTGGTTTCCAGTTTTCCTGGAAGACCCATAGCTCTTCTTTTACCACATGACAGCCCAACAAAAGATGAGGAGGAACCATAAAGCCCTTGGAAAAGAAAATGACCACAAGCAGGAGACTACGGTCAAAGCAACACATCTGACCTATCCTTTGATGCCAATGGCCTTCTAGGAAGGAGGGCACCTGATCACAGGCCAGAGAAATCACCAGCCAGTGGTTGAATACCTTGATCTATAAAACCCAGGATGTTTGTCAAGATGCTCTATACAAACAAGAGCAAGTTCCCATCTTTGGGACTCTGAAGTATTATACCAAAAGTCGCAGGTAGACAGGCAGTAATAATAAGTACCATTCAAATCACAAGGGAGGATACTCTACATATTGCCAGAATTTAAAAAAAAAAAACCAAAACCCAAAGAGTAACAGAAAAATATACATACATATAGGATCAGTAACACTTTGTCATGAATTGGCTGGACTTGTGCTAAGACAAGAGGGATTCCTATAAATTGAATGAGGCTTCTTCACTCTTCAGTTACCACCTTATTTGTGCTGAACTTTTTTTAAATTGGATTTTTGTTTAAAAATTATTGTATTATTCGTATCCAAGCAACTGTAGTTAATACCTTTGTCATATCCAAGTAAAACCGATTTCTGCTTAAATTTTTCCTAAAGAAATTCTGCATTTGCAATTCGTTTTACTTGTTACTGTACTGATCACATCTTTTACTTTTACATTCTTTTGCAATTAACTACTTGTTTGCAGTATACCTTCAACAGTAAATAAAGGTCTGATTGAAATTACATATCTTTGTATTGTTCATTACATGGGTAGGCTGTGGAAGGAGGGAAAAAATTGCATGTGACCAGTTTATTTAAGCAAAATGCAGTCTATGTACACAAAATGACATTATTTTGGCACTATCTATTCCCAGAGAAAAAGATGTTTTTTTTACAGAAGCTCTGATATTTCTTTTTTTAAGTATTCATCAATAGTAAGTCATCAACATAGAATAATTTCCCCTCAGCATCAAATGGAATATTCTGTTCTATGAAAACCGGGACATATCCTAAGAGAGTTTGTGTTTTAGTTTTGTTTTTTTAAGACTTGCCAGTTAATGCATTTTAATTAATGCATTTTAAGTGCCATATAATCTTGTCAATACTAGGTACTAATGCTCGCAAAATGTGTTAGCTGACGACAGTCAGTCCCTACAGCCATGTTGCCATGAAATGTCACATCCTTTTCATTTTTCTACAACAGGCGCAACAGCCTCACTCTTTGGAAATTGTGTGTCTGCATCAGTTATACATGATGGCTTGGTGGTGCTTCCCTTGTTAATCCATGTACTCATCCAGTTCCGCCTCCAACTGAATTCATAGCTCAGAGTCCTGGGCAGACAGTACGGTATCTCCATCCGA